GAAAGTTTCTCAAACACTTTTGTATGTATAGAATAATTTTCCAACAGTGGTTTTAATGGTTAGTACATCATCCTTGCAGCACTAGTGTTGCATTAAATTTGAATCGAATCCCAGTCAGGTCACTATATGCAGGGAGTTTGCATGTTCTCCCTGTGCATGCATGGGTTTCTGCTGGTTACTCTCCAAAAGACATGCAGGTAGGTTAATTGGTTCCTGCCTAAATTTTCCCTAGTATGTGAGATAGGGGCCTTAGATTGTAAGCTCCTTGAGGACAGGGACATAATGAAATGTGTGTAATAATTGTGACAGATATTTAACATTGTATCTGTCATCTGGGATCTTTTTAATCCTAGGCTGCTATGATGGCATTTGTGATCATTGGATATTTAAACTGAATATTCAAATCTTCCCAGAACTGGCCAGTCCAGGGACAACTCTAAGGTCTGCCTTAGCAGAGAAGAGCTTCAAGTGAAAAGTTCTACACACTAAAGTTTTATTTCCAGATTTTATTAATGATTGGTCAAAGATGTACAGCCAACACGTTTTGGGGGTTTGTGGCTCTCACTCTTTCTTCGCCTTCACTTGTGTGTCAACCAGAAACACTATTTCAGCTTAAAAACCTTTATATGGTTCCCAAGGTGGTTCAACAGAAAATTTCCAATTTTATCACCTAGAGTATTGTTTCTGAACATTACCAGGGCCCCAAAATATTTCCAAAACTTTTTATGCCCCAACAGTAAAAATGAAAAAGACAGCAGACTTAACGGCCCTATAGGGAATGAGGTTACTAGAAGGAGCTGGAGGCTGTGGGGGCTGGGTCTCTGGAGGGGGCTGTGGGTCTCTCCAGCTGGATGGGAATTTTGCAGGGGCATTGTTGAAGACTGGAGGACACTTCAGGGGCTTTGGTGTACTATTGGAGGTTGTGGGGCACTGTTGGATATTGGGGGTACTAGGGTGGAGACTAAGGGATCTCAAGGGGCCTAAGGGCACTGTAAAAGGTTGAGGCAGGTTGAAGGACACTGCAATCTACTATAATAGGTTGGGTGACAATATGATAGGTTAGGGGATCTGCAGCTGGCTGAGGCCCGGGAGGAGGAAGGCCACAGACCTGTGGTTGAGAACCACTGGTCTAGAGCCATTAGGAAGGGGAAGCTAGAATTCTCTGATTGGTTGTACACTTTTGACCAGTCATTATTATAATCTGGAACTGAACTTTCCATGTGTATGATATTCCATTCAAGGTGCTCCTCCCCAAATCACACACAAAAACGTCCAGTCTGAGGACCAGCACCTTTCCTGGTACCTCTAGGTGTTGAGCAGCTTAGAATCCTTAGAAGGCCCCATTGACCAGTCATTACAAACCTCAAAGCTGGAGCCCTGACTGTTGATGACACCAGAAAAAAAGGAAATAAAGTTTGCAGGCAGTGTCTCTATAAATCCATAACTTGTAAGTGTCCATGTTGAAACTTTTTTCCCTCTATAGATATTTTGTTTTGATCATTGTCCATGTGACCCCAATGACGGTTCTGTCCAATAAAAGGGTGAAAGATCAAAGTTCATACATTGATCTGACCATCCGATGTGTATTTAAGCAGCGTATATATACGCTGAGAGTGTCGGTTTTAATGTGTGAGATAGTTCATGTCTCCCAGCAGAGTCATTAACGCAGATAAAAGATGTATGAAATTACACCCATTCCTCTCTAATTGCTGTGAGCCTGCTCTGCAAACTCCGTATCTGGATTTTATGGGCTAAAATAAACCCTTCACATGCAATATCTCATCGATACTGTGCGGGAGCATGAAGGGCTCCCTCCTGAGGCCGCTTTATGGCACCGCATCAAAGTGAGTTGTTACTGTGGACCCGTGCATTCATCAACGGCTGGACGGGGCCGCTGCAAGAGATTGGTTGTTGGGAAACTTGCAGCTGCAGATGTACAGCTGAAGATTGGGTTGTTGTTTTGCAGTTTACTATGTAGAATTTAAGTACTAAACAAAGGAGAGGACAATGATAGCTAGGTGAGTCGAAAGCTGAACTTTAATCTGCTTATATTTTGCCTTCGCTGGTTGATTCCCTCCCCCTCAACATGCTAATGACATTTTTAAATAAAACTCTTCTGTTTTTATAACATACCTTATTTTAGATCTATTGACACGTAGCCAGGTGCTGGGCTACAGAAATATGGGAAAGGAGATGTTGTCTTTTATTCTTCTCTCCCTTTACTGAGATACTGATGTTATGCTGCACCATTCTCCTCCAGCCAGCAGGTGAAGTGCTAAAGCCAAGCCAGCCTATAGACTTCAATGCAGAGTGCTGAGAATCCTGGGAGTTGTAGTTTGAGACAGCAGCCATATAATGGGACCAATTGACTCCTTACACTACAGATCTCAATATGCATTGTGAAGTAGAGAGAGATGATTTTTTAAAATTAAACTGCCCAGGAAAGTTCTTCCTCTTGGCACCGAGAGAGTTAAGGAGAGAGAGCACTTCTGTCTAAATATTCACCTGCCAGCGGGAGACCATATCAACGAAGATCCGAGCCTGAAACAGGGAGTGAGGACACTTAGGGGCAGCGCAGCACCACCCACATGACTGCACCTGCACGGCTGCAGCAAGGGGTTGGAGCATCAACTCACCCTCTGCTTCCCACTGCTGATTACCAAAAGTCTTCGGGGAGAGACCGAGGAGGTCCCCCCCTTCTACAGTGAGAGGTCACCGCAGCATCCTGGGAAATAGTAAAAGGGCTAATCGCCCATTGCTGATACTGCTAACAGGGACCAAGCAACTGAGGGCAGGACACCAAGGGTACCTAATCCATACCGCATCCATGTTGCACTGTATACCACACTTAGTCCAAACTTAGACGGTACCTATAGCAACCCTATAGCGCATTATGCCAAACCTTTTCAGCATCTGAACATATCCAGCTTGCACCTGGATTGAGATTATACCGTACGTTTACTGCAAGCAGATTAACTGGGACCATCGTTAAGCGCACCAACGCTCTTAAAGGGACCGAATGATAGCCGGCAGAAGAATATCTCAAAGGACTGCCCCTCCTGTAATAATTATTATCCTGACAAACACACACAGTATTAGATTTTTGCAATGACAAAACCTCCTTCTCCACCGCTGGGTTCACACTACCACTCTGGTAACACATGTATAAACATGATTGCGTGTTAGCATATTGCAGTACCATTTGTTTTATATGACACTTAACTAAGGCAGTGCAACTCCAACAAAAATGCATTGCAGTGTGCAACAACAACTGCCTGTACAAATCAATGACAGGTTGTGACTGTACGCTGGTAACAGCATCTGAGCATGTGCAGGGATGGATGAACGGCTCTGGGCACAAACTGTCTGCATCCGGGGATGCACATCTGTCCCTTTATGCAGGTAAATGCTCAGACTAAAGTGATGCTAAAGGTTCACTTTTTTAAAAAAACAAGCCTGTCATTCTTACCTGCTCTGTGTAATGGTTTTGCACACAGCAGCCCCGATCCTTCTCAGGTTCCCCGCCAGTGCTCCAGGCCCCTTCCCCGTGCAGAGTGCTCCCAGAGCAAGCTGCTTGTTCTGGGGGCACTCATGCCTAATTGTTCCTGTGTCTATGAGACACACAGAACATAGCTAGGCCCCGCCTCTTCTACCTTACGGACTGTGATTGACCGCAGCAGGAGCCAATGGCTTCCTCTGCTGTGTTTCAGCCAATGAGGAGGGAGAGACCCGGGAGAATCGCTTTTCTCGTGCACATTTCTGGATCGAGATCGGACTCAGGTAAGTATTAGGGGGACTAAGGAGGGGAGGTATTTTACCTTCATGCATAGTAACAAACCTTCAGCCTTTACAACCACTTTGAGGGCTAATGTACACTGTAATCCTAGCACTCAGTGTGCAGTTCTCTATGTGCGTTTACATTTAGTTATGTTTTTTCATTATGTTATTTGGCTTTTTTTATTCTTTTTTTTTACTGCGCATGCATGCAAGAAAATGCAGCATGTTTGATGTACGCTACGGTTATTTAAACACATTTATTTTTTTTACATATCTGTTTATTCTGTGTCTAATAATACATTTGACCACATATGTTGTAAACAAGCCCTTAAGACTTCATTCACATGGCCGTAACAAAACGTATTTACAGGCATTTTTTATTTATGGATTGGAACGCAGCTGCATTGTTTTTAATAGAGACATTCACACAGGTGCGCAAACATGGACTGCGTTCATATCTGTAACACAAAATCCAAAAATCTACATCTGAGGACATACATATACACGTATGTCACACATGGAAGAAAAATAGATTTGAAATAGATTTTAAAAATATTCTTCCCAAATATATTGACATATATTTGAAATGCCACAATTATGGTCATATTTTATATATTAAAAAAATATATTTCAAGAAAAATATATATATATATATATATATATAAATATATATATATATATATATATACCGTATTTTCCGGCGTATAAGACGACTTTTCAACCCCTGAAAATCTTCTGAAAAGTCGGGGGTCGTCTTATACGCCGGTGCGAGCCGGGGTGTCAGGGCGGCACTTTTTCGAGGGGCGGCGTGGCGCCGCCCCCCCTCCTCCTCCAATGGACACCAAGTACAGGGGTGGGCAGAGGGGCTGCTGTACCTTACCTGGCTCCGGTCCCACGACGATCCGGTCCAGGAAGCGCGGCTGCTCCTTCTTTCAGTTCGGCCGCTCGATGGTCACGCGGCCGCTCGGCTCCGCCTCCTCACCGGTGATTGGGCGCCAGCACTGAAAAGGCACACAGGTGACCAATCACCGGCGAGGAGGCGGAGATGAGCGGCCCCGCGAAAATCGAACGGCCGAACTGGAAGAAGGAGCAGCCGCTCCTCTCCCCCACTGACACTAACGATGGAGCACTATTCCTCCTCCCCACTGATACCAACGATGAGGCACTGTTCCTCTCCCACTGACACCAACGATGAGGCACTGTTCCTCTCCCACTGACACCAACGATGAGGCACTGTTCCTCCTCCCCACTGACACCAACGATGAGGCACTGTTCCTCTCCCACTGACACCAACGATGAGGCACTGTTCCTCCTCCCCACTGACACCAACAATGAGGCACTGTTCCTCCTACCACTGAGGCACTGTTCCTCTACCACTGACACCAACGATGAGGCACTGTTCCTCCTCCCCACTGACACCAACGATGAGGCACTGTTCCTACCCCACTGACACCAACGATGAGGCACTGTTCCTCCTCCCCACTGACACCAACGATGGGGCATTATTCCTCCTCCCCCACTGACACCAACGATGAGGCACTGTTCCTCCTCCCCACTGACACCAACGATGGGGCACTATTCCTCCCCCACTGACACCAACGATGGGGCACTATTCCTCCCCCACTGACACCAACGATGGGGCACTATTCCTCCCCCACTGACACCAATGATGGGGCACTATTCCTCCACTGACACCAATGATGGGGCACTATTCCTCCCACCGACACCAATGATGATGGGCACTATTCCTCCCACTGACACCAATGATGGGGCACTATTCCTCCCACTGACACCAATGATGGGGCACTATTCCTCCCCCACTGACACCAATGATGGGGCACTATTCCTCCCCCACTGACACCAACGATGGGGCACTATTCCTCCCCCACTGACACCAATGATGGGGCACAATTCTCCCCACTGACACCAATGATGGGGCGCAATTCCTCCACTGACACCAATGATGGGGCGCTATTCCTCCCACTGACACCAATGATGGGGTGCTATTCCTCCCACTGATACCAATGATGGGTGCTATTCCTCCCACTGATACCAATGATGGGCGCTATTCCTCCCACTGACACCAATGATGGAGCACTATTCCTCCCACTGACACCAATGATGGGGCACGATTCTTCCCACTGACACCAATGATGGGGCACTATTCCTCCCACTGACTAATGATGGGGCACTATTCCTCACACACTGACACTAATGATGGGGCACCATCATTGGTGTCAGTAGGAGGAATAGTGTCCCATCATTGGTATCAGTGGATGAAATAGTGCCCCATCATTGGTGTCAGTGGGAGGAATAGTGCCTCATCATTGGTGTCAGTGGGAGGAATAGCACCCCATCATTGGAATACCATACTGAAATAGCATACCATATTGAAATCAAATCTGATGTTTTTTCATTTTTATTTGGTGTGCGTTGGAAGAGGGGTAGTCTTATACGGCGAGTATAGCTCAAACCCTATATTTTAGCAGGAAAAGTAGGGGGTCGTCTTATATGCCCAGTCGTCTTATACGCCGGAAAATACGGTATATATATATATATATATATATATATATATATATATATATATATATATATACACACACACATATACATACATACATACATACATACATACACATACACACACATAAACATACACACACTGCATGTTGGAATACGTTTTTATTACAAAATATATGTAAAATATTTTTTAAAATACATTTCAAATATACTGTATGTCTTTAAAAATACAAATCTACATTTTTGGAATGCATTTACAAATATATGTAAAAAAATATGTTAAAATGACTTTTCTATAGGTTAAAAAAAACCTGAAGAATATATTTTAAAAAAAAATTTTTTTTTTTAAATATATATATATTCTTCAGATTTTTTTTAACATATAAAAAAAACGTCATTGTAAATGCATTTCAAAAATGTAGATTTGTATTTTTAAAGACATACAGTATATTTGAAATGTATTTTTTTAAATATTTTTCATATATTTTGTAATAAAAACGCATTTCAACATGCAGTATACATACATATACACACACACACACACATACACACACATATATTCACACACACACACACACACACACACATTCACACACACACATTCACACACACACACATATATATATACACACACACACACACACACACACACACACATATATATATATACACACACACACACACATATATATATATATATATATATATATATATATATATATATATATATATATATAATATACACACAAACACACACACACACACACATACTGTATATAGACTATGGCCAAAATTGCATTTCAAATATATGTCACTATATTTGGGAAGAATATTTTTAAAATAGATTTCAAATATATTTTTCTTCCGTATGGGCAGATGCAGGGATTGGAAAAAAAAACAGGATAATTTTACATAAGTATTTATCAATCATTACACAAAAAAAAAATGCGTAATAAGATCAGTAAAGTTTTTACGTCCATGTGACTGTAGCCTAAGGTTACAAACGCACAGCTGTAGCCTGTCATTGCTTTGTTCAGGCGGCTGCACTTGTGACTTGTGGGCACAGACATCTGCTGATTGTTTATGATGTATGGACCTCTGCGTCTGTGTGAATGAGCCCCAGCACACTTTTGTTTTCATATGTGCGTTGCATTAAGCTAGTCTAAATGAATGAATGCACAACACCTGTGGCACGCAGACGTACGCTCTGTACCCGTTTGAATGAGCCCCAATGCAACACAACGCACTGGAGAAGTGTGAACGCAGCCTAAGTGATTGTATATCATTGAGAATGGCGCAGCATTGCTCATCCTGCCCGATCCTCTGCTGTAGCGACGGCAAGGGGCGCCTTAAATCACCTTGACATAAACATGAGAGCGAACAAGGAGAAAACGGCGGTTGACTGATATGCAGTTTGTCGCTGTCCGTCACCATCGCATTTCCCCGGCATCGCCTGTGAAGGTGAGGAATTGGATGTTACATTTGGTGACAGTTCCTATCATAGGAGCTTCCTTTTTTTTCCCAGTAATTTTGATAGCGCCCGGGACGAGTTTTGACACCCCACGATAAAAAATGCATGGCACTCAGAGGGAACGGGAAAAAGGCGTTTAATTGGGCCTTCCGCTGTTGTTCCAAGCTGTCCAGATGGTTAATAAGTGGAAATGTACATACCCTGCCTACATCAAAGACTGCCGCCGCCTGGAACCGCCTTCCCCAAACATGTCATTTGCCTCAAATTATTCTGTTTGAAGTGCTCTGTTCCAGCCACCCTAATGACCCGGCACCACTGTCACATCCCTGGAAGATGCCAGGACCTCGGACTGTCAGCGTTATTACCAGCGCGCAGATGGAAAACAAGCACAGCGGCGCCTCGATCGCGGCCAAACGTCCCCATTTTATTCTTTATATCCCGCTTTGTTGTGGGTCTTCATTAAAACAGGGATGTTTGATATTGTGTCAATAATGTGAATGTGCTTTATAGAGCGGCTAGATTCCATCCTTTATATAAAAAAGCAACGATGGAAACAATGTATCACAGTACACCGCCTTGTTTTATTAGCAGACCCAGCAACAGATATCATTTCATGTATGGGATACGGCGAATGCCTGCTCAGTAATGGATGTATTACCTCCCATAGAGATCACAGTACTCCCTCTGACAATGCCTTCATCTGCTTTTCTCTCCAGAAGGAAGGCACCATGTGTGTTCAGGAATCATCTAGGGACGTGGACATTAATCTTTTGCAAACATTTGTGATCCATAAAAAAAAAAAAGAATCTGTTTTTATAAATCAAAGATTAAAAGGTCAAAGAATGAATAAGCAAGCTTGAGGGAATAACTGGGTTTCAAAAGTTTCCCCTTTCACATTAAAAGTCTCCTTCCTTATTACATCAGATTCCCCCTTTAACATCAGGGTCCCCCCCCCCCCCATTATATCAGTCTACCCCCTTTCATAACAAAGCCCCTGCCACCCCATTACATCACATTCCCTATTTCACATATGAAGCCCCCACCATCACATTAGGGCCCCCTTTTCACATCAGAAGTGCCCCCATCACATCAGAGCCCACCTATTACATCAGGAGCCCCCCATTACATCAAAATTTCCTATTTCACATCAGGACCCTCTTTCACATAAGAAGCCCCCCTCCCCATTACATCATATTCCCTATTTCATATCAGAGCCCTCCTTTACATCAGGTCCCTCTTTTACATAAGAAGCCCCCCCTCCCCATTACATCAGATTCCCTATTTCATATCAGGGCCCTCCATTACATCAGGTTCCTCTTTCACATCAGAAGCCCCCACCATCATATCAGAGCCCCCTTTTCACATCAGAAGTGCTCCATCACATCAGACTGTTTTATCAGAGCCCCCCTTTCACATCAGATCCCTATTTCACATCAGGACCCACCATCACATCAGAGCCCTCTTTTCACATCAGCAGTGCCCCCATCACATCATGGCCCCCATTTACATCAAGATTCCCCATCACATCAAGTCCACCTTTCAACATTCAACCTCTTTTAACGTCAGAAGCCCCCCCCCCCCAATTACATCAGAGCCTCCCTCTTTACACTGGAGCCCAATTTCACATCATAAGCTACTCCCTTCCCATCTCTTTTACATCAGAATTTCCCCTTTTACATTAGAGCCCCCCTCTCTTTACATTTTACATCAGAGCCTCATTTCAGAACAAAATCCCTCCCCCCCCCCCCATCACATAAGAGCCCCCGCCCTTTCCATCAGACTCCTCCTTTCACAATAGAACCTTCATCACATTAGAGTTGCTGTGGGCTGGGTACAATCTTGTAATGAGCTGGAAGTGGGTTGCAGTCTATAGCAGTGTTTCAGGCAAGGCACCCTTTAAAATTATGGACAGTCTTGAGGCACCCCATTCTAAAATGGGGTACTTCTAGACTGTCCATTTTAAAAGGGCCCCCCATTCTAAAATGTGAAAAACGATTCTAATAGTTTATATGATGCAGCAACATCCACACATGTAGGACTCCCAATGTTAGAGGTTAGCTTTTTTTCTTCTACAGCAAATACACTTTTGCACACTGGTACTGACTAGTATTCCAATGTTTCTCTCCTCCCTCAGTTTTTCTCCATCACTGAGCTAATGTGACCCCAGCACTGATGGAGAGGGCCAGGGGGGGTCAAATTAGGATGCTGTGCAGGCAACTGACATCCTCCTTATCAACTAATGATGTTGTTGGTTGTCAGAATGCCGGAGGCTAGAAGATCATAATGGTGCACAATGAAAACCTGTGGCTTTGTGTAACTAAAAGGCAGGCTAGTTCCACCCGCTGGCTTGTATACAAGTTTTGGGGCAATTTTTAGACATTTTGCCAAGGCACCCCTGAAGAAACCTCAAGGCACCCTGGTTGAGAAAGGCTGGTCTATAGCATAGAGACCCCGATCTAGAGTCACTATCTACTTTCCACACTGAGATGCTGGCTCAGAAATGACAGTCATGTAAATCCTGGTGCCTGTGCAGTTATTGACTGTAGTGAAAAATGTCTGACACAGATCACCCCTACTATAGCTTCTCCCCTTGTGACTGGTTACAAAGTTACCATGTACAGTCTGATCACT